TTTCTTGTTACATAAGTAGAATGAAAGTTACATTATTTGCGGAAAACCTGCACCAATGTCTTAATGGATGTGCTCGCACTTGATGACAAAAGGGCATATGGAGTCGAGCACTTTTATTCATCTCTATGGGTTAAAATTCTGCTACTCAACTCACTAGATTTAGAGGTGGACCAAACCTAATAAGATCTAAAATATACTATTTTGTGAGTGATTAGATTTTATGGGGATACATCATTTTTGAATGGAGTCATAGCTTGTCTTCAGATGAAGCTAGATTGAGAAGCTGGTGCATTTGATGCCTAGCAATCAGGTATCTAATAGACTAATACTATAGGCATTCTACTCAACGTACAAAGTAATGATGAGAAAATTATCGAACAAAAAAAAATGATGTCAAGCAGAAAAAGAGCTAGGCATCTTGTTTGGCAACGGGTTCGGTAAAGTTACACATTTTGGGCGTGTTGTGATCATCACAATTGCTGTGCTCTGCTCATTAGAGCTGTTTTTCAAGCAAAAGGTGACATAAGCCATTGAATATGTGCTTGCAAGGACAAACCTTTCCCATCAAAGGAATCGTTCTGTGGCTGTGCATATTCAAAATAGGTAAGAGCGTGCACAAAATAATTGGAGAATTTGAAAATAGGTAGATTATATCACACATGATACAACTTTTAGTGCTTAAAGTTTATTAAACCCAACAAAAATCTGGTATAGATTTTCATTAGAACTTTTTAGGTAGAAACTGTTATTTTACCTACTGGGATGAAATGCTGTTTTAACCATCGGAATATGTGAGTAGGAGCCGTTCTATATCCTATGCTCTATAAATTTTTTAAGTGAACACTTAAAAAATTAATTACGGTTAAAATAGCCGTTCTTATGATTAAATAAAATATCAGTCTCCACAGTAAGCATTCGTAAATTTTCATACCAACTATAGAATTCTCCACAAAATAATTAATGGAAAGTAGTCAAAGTGTCAAACTCACTCGGCCACATGACTCTTCACAAGCGAAAAATATATTTTCCAAAATTGCCTTTCCTTCAAGTAACGTGGGCAAAGCTTATATCTAAGATGTGCAATTTCCTGAAAGATCAGAAATCACCAGTCAAATACTATTATATGTCAAAGATTACTGTTAAAACAAAATTTAAGCTTCAAGAAACAATATAAAATAGATTCACAGACTAAACAAGCACAGAGAAATAATATTTTTTTTAAAAAGAGATAAAAAGAAATAATAACTGAACCTTCACTTTGGAGAGAATAAGGATCGCGTGTCGCTCCTGCCATTCTGAGAGATCATTCCGAACACTGCCTGAAGAATCATCACCACGTTTACCTCCCGAATCATCTGTACATTGTCAATTCTAAGAGTGATTTTAGTAAAATTTGCGTAGATTAAGATAATACCATACTTAATTTGCAAGTAAGCAAACAACGAGTAAGCCAATTACAGAGACAATCGATCTTAACGAAGAAGTTTTTGAGTTAAATAAGCAGCTTATATTATTTCCCGGCATCCAAACAGAGCACAGACAACGAATTAGATGAAAAATGAAATAAAACCTGTTTGGTTGCTGAGAATACACTGTTAGAAAGGGGAAAAATTCGCAAAAATTTTCAATCTGTAACCTAAGTTAATTTGAAATAGCCTTGCGAAAGTAACAAAACAGGAACAATAACAATTCTGAAGTGGCTTTCGAAATTTTCTCGGAAAATCAGCAAAATATTTACCTGCGGAAGGAAAATTCTTGAAGGTTTCTAAAGTGAAGGACTTGACGTAATTGATCAATTGCTCTGTAACTCCGAGTATGTCCTCGTCGTCTTGGACGCGTTGGTCCGAGAGACCTGGGTTTTTGGTCTTTTCAGTGTCCTTGAAAAAGCTGCGTCGGAACCACGAACCGTCCATGGGGCGCCGATCGTCTTCCCGTGAAACGAAGAAAGTGAAGAGAAAAGATCCCCTACGGAGTGCTAATCTGGTGCTTTTCGGCCTATCGTATTATGGAAGGGATACACGAATAAATGTTTGTTTGTTTATTTTATAAAAAGATTGAAGTAGATAAAGTAATATTCAGTTGTGAAATAATAACATGCGGTAAAATATTAAAAAAAAAACAGAATATGAAAATGATATTCTATTTTAACTCAATATATTTTTATTTATATTTTCATTAGAATTATGCACAATATTTTCATATGAGTAGTATGAGAAAGTTTGTGTAAAATAGTAGTTAAATGGTTATAATTCATACAAATTATTTATATATTTTTATCTGTATAACATAAAAAAGTTGGTGCAAAATGGTGAAAAAAATCGGTGAA